CCGCGAGAGCGACCCAACTCGTCGACATTGTCCGATGATGGTGCCGCAAAGTCAGCCTCCGGAGGCTATCGTGGGTCGAGCCGGCAGTAGCCGTGACATGTGGTTCCACCACCCCTCGCAGGCTTTGCCTCTGACCGCCACCGTTCCCAGGCTACCTAATGGGATGGAAAGGAAGGCTGGGCGAGCGTATAGAAGCGTGCTCGACCTCCTCGTGGCAACCTGCACGGCAGCGCTGGTAGGCGCGATGAGCGTCGTGCCACCTGACCCAAGACGGGTCGCAGGCGTCGTACCGAGCGTGTCGAGACCGTGTCCTGATGTGATCTGCACGGGTGAGTCACGTCGGCGTCAAAGGAGCGACGTGCGACCTGTCAGAGCTTGATCTCCGATCTCAGCGGCGTCGAGTCGTCTCTGGCGCGCGACAAAGGTACATCACCAGGACGCGCAGAGGCAGCTGCGACCCAGCCGAGTGGACGGCGTCACACCGCGCCACCTGCTGTGTGACGCCGTCTACTCGGCGGGGTCGCAGCTGCCTCTGGAAGGCACCGAGATGTACCTTTTTCGCGCAATGGTCAAAATCAAGGTTTTGTAACGCGAGCTGTGCCACAGTGAAATGGAACTAGCCTATCTGCCAGAGCTGAGTTCCATTTCACACTGTGGCTTAGCCCGCGCTGTCCGTAATCTTCCGTAAGGCGGTACCACTGCTACCACTACTAGCGCTCGGAGCTGACATGTATCGCACGTGGTACATATCAACCAAAACCCCACGTCGTACATATCAACCATACCGGCGCGGGGACATCGGACATGCGCGCACAGTGTCAGAGCAGTGCGAGCACTCACACGCTTACACACGTCGGGTGGTGGCGCGGCCGTCGTGGCCAGACCGCCGACGGAGCGGCGTTACTTTGCGACCGCCGTGGGCAAAGACGACTCGATGGCGGCCCAGACCTCGGCGGGCGCCTTGTTTGCGTCGACGCGCTTGACGGCACCCGACGGCTCGTAGTGCGCGAGGATAGGAACCGTCTGCTCGTGGTAGGCGGAGAGGCGCGTCTTGAGCGCCTCCTCCGTGTCGTCGGCGCGCTGCATGAGGGGCTCGGACGTCTCGTCGTCGAGCATCGTCTCGGCCGACGGCGCCTATCCGCCGAGGGGGCGCGCTTCGGAAGTCTCTCGGAAGTGTCGCCACGCGTCGCCTCGAGCCGCTGCGGCGCCTGCCCGTCCTGGAGCGACTTCGGGCGAGCGAAGCTGACGTGGTACGAGCGTCCCGACGCCTTGTGCACCCACCTGCGCGGGGGAGGGGGGCGGGGGTCCCTGGATC